GCCGCGTAGCGGCTGGGCCCGTGAGCCGTGGCCGCTGAGCTTGCGCGCCCGGCAACGGGAAAGGCCACGACAGTGAGAGGCCCACATATTGCAAAAAAAAAAAAAAAAAAAAAAAAAAAAAAGAGACAGGGAAAGTGAGAGCAGGGTTAAGTGATCTACCCAAGCCACGTGGCCTGCAATTGGGAAGCAGGACTCAAACCCCCATCTCCTGACGCCCAGGCCCATCGTCCTTCCACTAGTCTCAGAACTGTCACCTTGCAAAGTGGCCCAAGCAGAAGGCAGGTGCAGCTCCTCCTGTAGCCAGCAGGAGGCGCCAAGCAACCAGAGGTGTCAGAGGACCCAAACTGGAGGCTGGCTCACCTGCAGTAACTGATGCAAGAGTCTTGGAGGTTGCAGGGAGCCCTGAGGAAACCAGCCCTCCCACAGGCCTGGACACCCTGCCCCATTCTGGAAGCTGCCCCTCCCTCATCCCAGAAATCCCGCAGAGTACCCCTGAATCTGAGCTTCCCAGAGTTCCCTGGGACTTTGATTTGCCCCCGTTCTAGAAACAGGGAGCAGGCCCACCTCTATGAGGGGGTGTCGTGAGAACTGAAGAGGAGAGAATGAGCGCCTGGGCATGAGCTCGCTACACGCGAGGACCCACCCTCTCCGTCCCCCAAGGCCGGCACCTTGACCAGACACTCACTCTCAGCAGACCTTTCTGAGATGTCACGAACGTCCTGGGACGAGATGAAGATGTCTGCCCCCTCCTCCAGGCTGGGGGCCTTCTGGCTCAGCCGCTGGCCCACAGTGGTCACATAGGTGCAGAAGCGGTCACCTGTCACCTTGTGATCCAGGGCCAGCCCTCTGAGCTTGGTCTTCTCCCTGTCAGTAGCCAGGCCACAGCACGTGGGAACCAGCCACACAGAGCCCCGCTTCAACAGCCTGCCTCTAGGGCGTGCTGTCCCAGGGGTGCCAAGCCCCCCTTTAGCCAGCACTGATGGGCCCACTGACAAGCTCCCAAGGGCGGGGCTTGTGTCTGTGTGTCTCAGAGCCTGGCCCAGGGGCCAGCTCAGCACACACTAAGTGAAGGACAGATGCACTGTTTTCCACTTGGGCTGTAGCCATGGAGGCAGCATTCAGAACCCAAACTCCGGGGCTGGGGGGCGGAGGGAGGGATAAATTAGGAGGTCGGGATTAACATATACACACTACTATATATGAAATAGATAACCAACAAGGACCCACTGTATAATATGGGGAACTCTACTCAATATTTATAATAACCTATAAGGGAAAAGAATCTGAAAAAGAATATTTATATACTTATATATATATATATGAATCACTTTGCTGTACACCTGAAAATAACACAACATTATAAATCAACTATGCTTCAATAAATTAAAAAAAAAAAAAAAGAACTCAGACTCTGGAGTTCTGATTCCAGCCTTAGATTCACCCCTCCCCCCTTCAGTGGTATGACGTTAGGTAAGTCACTTTGCTCCCTGTGCCTTTGCTACGAATGGAGTTAATAACAGAACCCACGTCACAGAGCTGACTGAGAATGAGGGCTGAGCAGAGTGCCTGGCACACAGGAGATGCTCCATCAGTATCAGCTATTTGACTGGCTCCCTAGGTGCCTGGTTGTGGGGCATCACTCCAGTCCCCTGGGGAACTGATGGGGGGGGGTAGGTAAAGTTGGCATTCAGGTTTGCCCCACAAAGGGTGGGATTTCATTCCTCGGTTTCCCCCCTTTCTGGGTGCCCGTAGCACATGGCACTATTGCAACGGTCCCTCCTACTCTGATCCCATCCTCCAAACCTGGACAGAAGAAGACAGTCCCCACGTTTTGGATGCCTGCTTTATGCCTGATCTACTCAGAACACCTGCAGGTGGGTGGGATCAGGCCCACGGTTCAGATGAGAAAGCGGAACTTGGAAAGCTCAGATGATCAGCAAATCTTGGTTGCTCTGAGTCCACAGCTGCTTCTGTCCATCACACCACCACACCCCGGCCTCCAGATCTGCAGCGGGGCAGTCACCCTCCCACCCCACACCCCCCGGTCACTCACTTGTAGTTGACTTCCTCCGGCGAGGGAAAGGCTTCACTCGGCCAGTTGAAGGCACAGTTCAGAAAGATGAGGCAGGCCAGGCTTGACCAGGTGAACATGATGATCATGAAGGACACGCCGGCATCATAGATCAGCTGTCGGGGGACGGGGCGGGCCATGAAGGAGGCTGCCCAGCCCCAGGCCCGCGTCCTCCAGCTGGAGGTAGAACCCAGGCCCCAGAGGCCTTAGAGAAGGTCTCTTCTACCCCGTTCCTTGTATCCAATTTGCAGATGAAGAAACCAAGACCAGAAGTTAAGAGTTGGATCTAGAAGCCCCACCATCCTCTTCCTTTCTCACCCCAGCCCCCCTCAAGAGGTGTGAAATAGTTTGCACACGGGGCCGAAGGGGCTGGCCACAAGCTCAAAATGTCTTTGAAATCTCAATTATTATCTTAAAAAGACACACCAATGTTGCCTTTGACTCCATACACGTTTGTTTTCACATGAAAGTCATTTCATTTTATGTACAAGAGAGGACGATGAAAGCGTCTAACCGTGTTTTTCCTGCCCCTTCTGGGCACCCTCCCTGGGGGAAAGACAAACCCAGTCTGAGAAGCCTTATCTCACCTTGCACAGGTGTGACAACTGAAAGGGGAGGGGCGTGTGCAAGCACTCTGCCCACAGCCTCCCAACCCCAGGACAAGCAGGTTCTCTATTGATTGGGATTCTGTGCCAACATAGCAACTGCTCTAGTGAGGAAGCCAGGTATGCGGAAAATGTCCTGCCTGCCACCCTCTGCCTGGGATGGCTGCTGTCTGCTCTCCACTCAGGCTCCAAGCTCCAGTGCTGCCTGGGAAAACTGCTCCTTCTGGGCCGCAGGCTTTGGGGCTCTTTCTTCCCCGGGAGCAGGACAGAACTTCAAAGGGCCACACCCGCCAAGATCTGGTTCCTCAAATCCCACTGCCTTAGTCAAGGGAAGGGGGACCCCCAGCTCCAGGCCTGCTCCTACCTGAACAATTGTTGGTCACCCCCATCAGTGTGCTCTCCACCTCCTCTGGCGACGGATGCTGAGCGAGTGCCTTCTAAACCAATAAATTAACTGCCCAAGGCAGAATCTGAGGGGCACGGTGCGGCCCAGCTGGAAGGGCACTTTGATATCAGAGGGAGGAAAGAGGCCCCAAACTTGCCCAGAGCTAGAACTCAGGCCTTCCGGCTCTAGGTCCACCAGGCTGACCTGTCTAGGAGCTGGCCAGGCCTGGACTAGCTTGGTGACCTTGGACCCAAGTCATCCAGCCTCTTCAGGGCTGGGGAAGGAAATATGGCCTGAAAGGTGGGCTGAGGCCAAAGAGGTGAGGGCCTTGAAGGCATGTGAAGGGGCTGGACCTGATTCTGTCCGCGAAGCAGAGTGGGTAGATGAGCAAGTCCTTCATCTAAGGTCATTCTGGAAGTCATGTGAGTGGCAGCTTAGAGAGGGAAAAGCTTGGAGGCAGGGAGATCAGCTGAGAAAGCACTGGCCCAGCAGCGAGGATGAAGGCCTGGACAGAGCAGCAGAGAAGTCAGACCCACTGGTCCACAGCGGCACCTGGGCTCTTCCCATGACGCTGCAGTGCTTTGCCCTGCCGTGGTGGGAACTGACCTCCGCCTGACAGCAAGTAGGTCACCAGATATACTATGCGCCCAACCCCACCCAGGTCTTGTGTCAAGGCAGAAGGAAGGCCAAGCGACCTCACTGACCACCAGCTGCCCACTCCCCAGGCAGCTCCGTACCTTGATTCCCGGGTACGTGATGGCAGAAGAGGCATAGGAGCCGATCATGAGGGCCATGAAAGTGGAGCGCAGGTTCCCAAACATGTTGGGCAGCTGAGAGAGGAGAGCAGTGTCAGTGAGCAGGGAGACCCTGACACCTGCCCAGGGCTCCCCTTTCTCCACCGAGCAAGCTTGGAAGCTTCTAGCCCAGTAGTCCTCAACGTGAGCTCCAGGAACACCAGCCCCAGAGTCGCAACAGAAAAGTTCTAAGACAAAATCAGGGTTGGAAACCAGGCTGTACTCCCCTCCCACGCAAAGAAGTGCCCACAAAGAGAAGTTTTGTTTAACCCCATGGTTTCCCAAGTTACTTTTTTTTTTTTTTTGCGGTACGCGGGCCTCTCACTGTTGTGGCGTCTCCCCCTGCGGAGCACAGGCTCCGGATGCGCAGGCTCAGCGGCCATGGCTCACCGGCCCAGCCGCTCCGCGGCATGTGGGATCTTCCCGGACCGGGGCACGAACATC